TGTTATTCGATATCTGAGGAGTGCATTCAAGACAGGAATTAAAGAAGCTATCAAATTTTGAAATCAATCCATTAGATCTGGTAATCAAACAGATATTAAGTGAGAATTCATATTTAAATTTATGAGTAGGATTCTACTTTACAGATGAAGTAAGCTGTATATTTTAGGAATTACTGCTTCTTCGTCGTGGCGTAAGATTATTCTCCTAATCTATTACTGTTTAGGCCAACAGATGTTCCCCAAAATTCTCTCTTTCTCTCTCTCCTATGCTTCCTTTGTGTACTTTTTCTCTCTTACTTTCACCTCTCCCCCCCTTTAGGTTCGTTATCTCATTCTCTCTCTGTAATAGCTTGAGCTTGAATCTCTCTTACTTGTTGTCTGTTCTTCGGCAAAAGCCGTTGTAGCTTATTGCCCGGCAACTTCGTACCAAATTCTAATATACCGTACAATAGATTTTACACTCGCATTTGTCGTGCTGCTATACTGCAACCGTGAGAAATGAGGTACAAGTTACCAAGAGCGACGCACAGAACTAAGGCGAAATGGACACCATCCTATAGTCGTATTGGACTGTTGCATCTACCTCAAAATAACAAATATTCCCAGCATATCGCCGATCACAAAGTACACAACACCCACACACAGACGGTGTTCGCAATGTTCGTTTTCTCCAAGTTGGCACAAAGCACTAGTAAAGGGGATGGGGGGGGGGGGGGTCACTAGGACGGGCTTCCCTCTCCCTGTCTATAAAATAAATTGAATGTATGAAAGCGTAGTTTCTTCTTATTGGGTCTTTGTCTGTGGAGGGTGTCGCTAGAAAAATGCAAAATGTCATAATAATAACTAAAAGAAAAAGCGCAGTAACTGATGTGTATATAATAATTCGTTGTTCATTATGCATTTTAAAATATAAAAAGTTATTTGAAAATCACTCGTGTTAACCAGTTAAATTCTTCTTAATGAATATACATACTATATTTATAATTAATCAACATTTACCTTCATATAAACAGTCTGTTCATCCCAAAGTTTTATTGTTAAAAAAATATATATTGTAAGCTTTTGTCCGAGACACAAAATGACCTGGTTTTCTGTATGAGTACTAACCTTTTAACGTCGCGCCCACGTTATTCTGCAACATCTTCGGCACGGCGTTGTAAATGTGTAAGCAACCTTTTTTTTTTACCATGAAATTACGCATTTTGATTGGTCAGTTAGTGACGTCACTTAAGTTGCCGGTTAGAAAATAAATTGTAGATTTTAATATTACTTTATTGATGATTAGTACATGCATTACATATGTTGTTTACAATAAATTTACATTTTTTTAAAGCATTGTATTTATATACATACAGTAAACATACATATTCTTTATCGACCATGAATATGTATGTTAATCCGAATTAAGCAAATATAACCGCCGTTGTAAATCATTTGTCAATTTAACTGTTGATAGAATTAATTTGATCTTTGTCTCACTTTTGTATATATTTGAATATCTCTTAACAAAATGCGTAAGTAACCGTCATGACAGGCTAGGAAAAAATAATCTGAAGCTATCTACATATACCATTCATATATATATATATATATATATATATATATATATATATATATATATATATATATATATATATATATATATATATATATATATATATATATATATGTACACATATATACATATATATATTATATCAATTTCGTTACATAAAAAAGATTCTCATTATGGACCCTTTGGGACCTGGTATAGGCGAGAAATAGAATATATTTCTCGATTTTTGGCAAATATAGCATATTTAAAATTTGACCAGACAAGAGAAAAATATGCTTAGATTTTTGGGCAATATTTACTAGTTATTCTCTGACCAATCTCGAGAAAGAAAGGAAAAAGTGCCAATTCACCCTTCTTTATGGACTACTATTCTCTATATGGTTTATGGTAAGAAAGGAAATTTAAATGAGACAATAAAATATATAATATATGTCATGGGCTTAATAAATATGAAACAAATGTAAACATAAGTAATAATTATTATTTGCTAAGAACAAAAGTGAGGATTGGTGAATTGGAGTGTTCAAGAGCCCAGGGTGAGTTGTCAGTTTATCTTTAAGGAAAAACAGTGATACAAAATAGTAACCTCTATAAGATTTACTGAAAATATTCTTCAATTAATAATTCTTCTGTTACCTTTTTCTATTATTGATCAAGTAGTGTATAATAACTACAGAAACACTCACCTATTCACCATGTTGGTAAAACTCACTGGACAATCCCCTTTCATTAATATAAAATCCCGGCCAAACAGATGAAAATTTTAACAGTATCAAAAGAAAGTTAAATCACACAATGTTGCACACACACACACCAGAGTTGATTTTTTTAAATTCTTTATTTGAGTCCAACTTATAAATATTTTCTTTTAAATCTATAAGGGCTGATACAAAAGAATGTTCTACAAACAGCTGTCATTATTATCGTAAAGTTTGTAGCTCAGCTGAGAGTCATCATGAATGGTATTGGCCGATCGAACAGCCAAACATAAAGCAAAGATGAAAGCAATATTACCATGATTTATTTTATATCTGAAAGACTACGGGATGAAACAACCTAAAATTAACCGAAAGATCCAATTCACAATTCTCAGAGTAAATATAACTGTAATAAACCATTTGATTTAATATCAAGTAAGCATAATTAACTGAGACTGCGGAAACAAATATCTTCTTCTAAAATAAAAAGATTCCTATTTCAGAGTGCATTTATCTATATCTTTATTAATGATACTAGTGAAATAAAATTTCACTACAGTGACTAGACAGTGCTAACAATCATCCTTCCCATTCCATGTGAACAAAAAATGACACATGCCATATCAATTTGCTCTCAAACACTAAAATACTTTCACAGGAAATGACAAGCAGTACGACAATGATTAGAACTACTTATAATATACGAGTATACACGAGGGGGAGGGGTAAAGTCACCAGCAGAACACGCAAAGGCCAGTAAAGCAGTATCACTAGAGAAGGGCGTGTTTGAAGCAACGTGTTTTTTCCCAGTCTTTCCCAAGAGCAAGAGGAAAAATCCTTTAACGGAGTGGTTCTTGCATTAGTGATGTACTAAATCAAGTGAGCATGTTTATACACAGTTGGCAAAGAAAGAAAGAAAAGGCTAAACAAAGGAAGAGGAAGGACTGACAATAAACTTCCTCCATTCTCTATACAGGTAAAGGTTTAACTCACAGTAAGGCTGAGAAGTGAGTTGGTCTAGTAAAGAACTTGAGAGAAGACTGCGGGATCCATAGCGAGTTTCTACGATTTGTTTTGATGCCGCGACTCCACTGAGCAAAACCGATGGTTCTTTTCGCAGTGTGAACACCACGGATGGGTGGATTAGTTCCAGCCCACAGAAAATCGCTGGATTCCAGAGAAATTTATGGGTAGTCTGATCGTACTTTAAACCCCTCTAGTATATATGTATTTTTAGAATTTAATGTCAATTAAAAAAAGTAACGTAAGATTTTGTATACATATGGACATACACCCACACACGTGCATATATAGACATATACGTATACACACACATACATATATATGTATATACATATACATATATGCATACATACATATGTATATGTATACACACACACAATATATATATATACATACATACGTAAGTATATATACACGCATACATATATACATACATATATATATGTATATATATATATTATATATATATATATATATATATTATACACATATATGTACAACTGCTGTTGCATATATGACTGGTTATTATTGGTCATGTGTAAAGGAGTACACCTTGTGACGTCATCAGAGCAAATTCCATGAAGCGGGGCTGAGTATCGTTTTTTCAGATCCGAATTAGCAGACGACGCGTCTTTGTGAAAAAAACCTTCAAAAGGCATGATTTTGCTTAAAAGTTGACTCTAAATATGCTTCATAGGAAAGTAAATACCATGGACGTAGAACAAAAATTGAGCTCGGTGGTTACTCATCAAAAACACCCTTAAAAACCTAGTAAAAATGATATCACAAAATACTGTGCTCATGAGAACACATCAAAAGCTTTATGATCCCTTTAGAAGTGGCAATTAACAGCACAACTAAACTGAACATACTGTAATAAACTTCCAACCCTGACAAGAGGATGTTAACTCACTACATAGAGAGAGCCTCTTCATAGTAATAGTGACTGCTATTTATATGCCTGACTACCCAGGGCAAATCCCTAAACTCAAAAGGACACATAACACCTTAAAGATTTCTTTGGAGGTGATAATTAAAACCTCTCCGTTCAGCTTAATATTCACTTACTCCGTGAAAGCCGGGTTTTGGAGTGAAGAATGAAACAATTTCTGATGCCCCGTAACCAATGGATGGAGCTTCTGTCCCGCCTGCAAAGTAAGCTTCTATTTTCACAGGTTCTTTAATATCCTTTTCACACATGCGTTCAAAAATTGATCTTATCCTTTTCTCTAAGTGGTCAGTCCAATAGTTTCTCTGGTCTTTGAATTCTTGCAGTTCCAGGAAAAATGTATTCTTTAAAATAAAACTCTTTGGCGAGGAAATTTTGAAGAAAATTTTATCAAAATATTTAAATCTGTTTTGAATATCTCTTGATGCCCACTTTTCCACTTTGAGGGAACTAAGAACCATTTTACACGCTAGGAACACTAGCCTCTGATCAGGAGTCAGATTCTTCATGATTTCATTCTCTGCCTTTGCGAAGGAGAACCTCCACTCGCCGTTGCCAATGCTGTTGATGTAGACTGACTTCAGGTAAGGTGGCGTAAGAGGTGGCCTCGGGAGATCCGGCGGCCAGGGAGCTTCCATAGTGGGCACGATATCCACATCCACCAGCAGTAATGGAAACTCCTTACCCGTCCAGGCAAGGCTGAGTCCCACTCCAACTTTGGTTCTTTTCACCCCAGGTGGAATAATTGTCATTCTTTCATCTTCAGGGTCAATAT